AGAAAATCCCATGGAATCTACAAAAAAGTTCCTGGAATTTAATAAGTTTGGCAAAGTCGAAGGACTCAATGTCAAAATACAAAAATCAAACATATTTTTATGTATTAGCAATAAACTAGAAATCAAAATTTTTAAAAATATCATTTATAACAGCATGAACACAAAGAAGTCCTTACATATAAAGCTAAAAAAATATGCACATGATCTATATGCTATGAAAAACTACAAAACACAAATGAAAAAAAGACCTAAATGGAGAGGTGTGTCATGTTCCTGGTTTGAAAGACTTAAAATTGTTAAGATGTCCATTCTTCTCAAATTGTCCTATAAATTGAATGCAATACCAATCAAAATTCCAGCTTTTCTTTTTTCTGTAGATGTTGATAAGCTGATTCTAAAATTTATATGGAAGGCAAAAAAATTAGAATCGCTAAAACAACTTTGAAAAAGAACAAATTTGGAAGACTCATCCCACCTGACATAGCTTTTACTATAAAACTATAGTAAACTAAATAGCCCATTACTGGCCAGTTAGCTCAATTGGTTAGAGCACGGTCTGATAACATGAAGGTCAAGGGTTCAGATTCCCATACTGGCCAACAGTCAAGAAAATAGATCAAAACAGACATATAAATTAGTAGAACAGAGTCCAGAAATAGACCCACACAAATATGGTCAATTAGTTTTTGGCAATCTACAATGGAAATTCAATGGAGAAAGGACAGTCTTTTCAATAAATGGTGCTAGAAAACTTGTGGAGTGTCATGTGCCAAAAAAATGAATGTTGACCTTACACCTACACAAAAACTGACTAAAATGGACCATAGATCTAAATGTAAAACACAGAAGAGGTCACAGAAGAAAATCTTCATGACCTTGATTTAGGCATATTCTTAGATATACAACCTATTTTTTACAAAAGTAATAAATTGAACTTCATCAAAATCAAAATTGTTTGCTCTGCCAAAGACACTGTTAGGAGAATGAAAAGACAAGCTACAGACTGGAAAAATATATCTGTATATTATTCGACAATGGACTTATATTCAAAATTATATTAAAAACTCTCAAAACTCAACAAGAAATAATTTTTAAAAGGGCAAAATATTTCAAACACTTTAACAAAGAAGATGTACAAATGGCAAATAAGCACACAAAAAGGTGTGCAATATCATTAGTCATGAGGGTAGTGCAAATTAAAACCACAGTGAGATGTCACTACATATTTATTAGAATGACTAAGATTTCTAAAACTAACAATACAAAATACTGGCAAGGATGCTGATCAACTGGAACTCTCATATATTGATGGTTGGAATGCAAAATTCACCCACTTTGGAAAACAGTTTGGAAGTATCTTATAAATTAAGCATATACTTACCATATAACACAGCAATGACACTCGTAAGAATGAAAACTTAATGTTCGCACAAAAACATGTACGTGAATGTTACAGCAAGTTTCATTCAAAATAACCAAAAACTGGAAACAACCCAATGTTCTTCAGCAGGTGAATGGATAAACAAACTGTGATACACACACACAATGGAATAATAATCAGCAATAAAAAGGAATAATCGGGCCGGCCCGGTGGCGCACTGGATAAGTGCACCGCTGCGGCGCTTCCGCCCGAGGGTTCGGATCCCACATACAGACCGGTTCCCGCTCACTGGCTGAGCGAGGCGCGGGAGCAACACTGAGGGTTGCAATCCGTTGCCGGACACGGAAAAAGACAAAAGACAAAAAAAAAAAAAAAGGAATAATCTATTAACACATGAAACAAAATATATGACTCTCTATGCTAAATAAAATGCACTATGCTAAATAAAAGAAGTCAGACTCAAAAGGCTACATACACTGTATAATGCCATTTATATAATATTCTAGAAGAGACAAAACTGTAGAGATAGACAACAGATCAGTGGTTGCCAGGGTTTAAGTGAAGACAGGTTGACTACAAAGAGATAGCACAAGGAAGTTTTTCGGAAAGAACTTTCATGTGTCTTGATTATGGTGGTGGTTACACAACTCTGTGCATTTACCAAAAATCACAGAACTGTACACCAAAATTAAATTTTACTGCATATTAAAAAATAATTTTCAAAAATAGGCAAAGGCAGTTTTTAAAAAAGAAAAAAGCAATTTGGAAGATCTAAAAATAATAACAACAGAATAGATTAAAAACAAGACATCTGGAACAAGGTCAGGTCATAAAAGGGGGCACTAAGTTGGGGATGAGTTTTAAAGGCAAGCCAGAAATCTAGTTATCCAAATCAGTGAATAATGCCAGGAAGGCAAAAACGCTGAGCTGCATGCATATAAAGTATGCTTTTGATCCTGATTTGTCTTAGAGTCTGACACAAAGTTCTAATCATATAAGAGGATCCCATATAAAAATGTGGAGAAAAGAGAGGTTTACAAGCTAGCAATCAGGCAGAGTTTTAGCCTTTTTCTATACTAGTAACTCTAAATGAAAGGTTCTTAGTATGGAATACCTAGATAAAACTCCAGGAGTCCATGAAAGTCAGTAGGACAAAAATTCATCTTCATTTTTAATCTCTAACTGAAATGTATTATATTTACTCAGGTTATGAATGTATGCAACTAACTGCAATAGACTAAATAGGACTTATGCTTTTATCACTTATAAAAATCACAGATTCTTCCTATCATATAGTACCACCGCTATTTTACTTTATATGCATTAATAAACATATCAACAAATCATATATTTGAAGTTTTTAGTATTTTGATAACTGTATTTTACATAATTGGTTTTCTTCATAATCCTATGTATTTTACATATTTAAAATACATTATATGTTTTTGGGGGGTTTTTTTGTCCTTTTTGAGACCGGCCGCACTGCGCTCAGCCAGTGAGCGCTGTGAGCGCACCAGTCATCCCTATATAGGATCCGAACCCGCGGCGGGAGTGCTGCTGCGCTCCCAGCACTGCACTCTCCCGAGTGCGCCACGGGCTTGGCCCCTAAAATACATTACATGTTTTAAAATACACATAAAACATTATTCTAATAAAGTGTTCATAGGCTTTTCTAGACTACCAGTGGGATCATGACAAAAAGTTAAAAATCTCTGCTCTAGATTATTCTGCACCCATCTTAAAAGCACCTTTTTCTCCAGGGCCTCTAATACCCTTCATACAAGCATGGAGTATCACTCTCTCCATGGTTATATAACAGTTTACACCCAAGACAAAGAAATGCACAGCTTTTTTTAAGCAATAGTTACATTTGTTTATGCTAACTAAATAATAGAATCCATATAAAATTAATGTACCAAATAAATGTCCCATAGTCATATCCATACAAGAAAGACCTTACAACGGATACTACAGTGTTAAATGAAATGTACTTTCTGAAACTACAGATGGAACTAGCCTTAAAAAAAAAAATCTATCTTATGTCTCAAATAAAAAGAAACTTAATGAAGGCATTAAAAAAGGATTTTAGGGCCGGCCCGGTGGCGCACTGCTACAGTGCGCTGCTTGGGAAGCGCGGCAGCGCTCCCGCCAAGGGTTCGGATCCCACATACAGCCCGGTTCCCGCTCACTGGCTGAGCGAGGTGCAGGGAGCAACACCGAGGGTTGCGATCCCGTTGCCAGTCCCGGGCCGGTACGGGCGCAACACTGAGGGTTGCGATCCGTTGCCGGTCATGAAAAAAGACAAAAAGGGAAAAAAAAAAAAAAAGGATTTTAAGTTGATAAGAATGTAAAAAGAAGTGTAAAATGTTTACCTGTGTTTTCTAAATATACACTGTACACACACTGCAACATCTTATGTTACCTAAAAGAACCGAGGATCTCAAAAACAAAAACAAAAAAGCTAGATCTCAAAGGTTTCTACAGTAATAAAACTATAATTCCTTGGGTTAAAATTCCTTGGGTTAAATGATAACAATTACCAACCAGCTGAAATATAGCAGTCATTGAAACAATGGAAACACCTAAATAGAGTTATGTACCACACAAGGACATTTCGGTCAACAAAGAACTGCATACACAACAGTGGTCCCTTAAGATTATAATGGCAATCCCATATAGCCTAGGTATGTAGTAGGCTATACCATCTAGATTTGTGTAAGTACACTCTATGATGTGTGCACAACAAGGAAATCATCGAAGGACCTGCAGTTCTCAGAACAGGTCCCCATCATTAAGCAACACATAACTGTAGTAGAAAGTAGTGAATGGATCTAAACTACAAGAGCAGCAAATTCAACTGTGGATCCAGAGATACCAGAGATAAAAAAAAATTTTCTGTGGTGTAAAGATGATCTGGTGAAAACTATGAAAAAGAAGAAATATTCTTAGAGAAAAGTAATTATTACAAATATTAGAGTAAATATTACAAAAGTAATTCTATTACAAAGGCATTACACCTCCTTCCTACCAATAAAATGTACTAGTTAAAAAAATTTTTAGTAGGAATTTACCTCTTTTTTTTTATAACAGAAATCAAGGAACAAATAGAATTTGCTTTTCTGTATTTCCTACCATTATTGGTGACAAAATAAAATGTAGCCATACTAAATCATTCATTCAATTTCAACTTAATAGTATATCATTTTTATATGTATGAATAACATTTTTTAAAAACTAACAAAAATGTACTGCATTCAATCTATACTAATTTGACATATCTCTACCAAGATCTTAGGAATTTTTTATTATAAGCAGTCAAAATTATGAGTAGTCTTTAAAAAACTTCTAAAATACAAAAAGAAGAAAGAAAAAAGAATTCCCCATAATCTCATTAATTAGAAATAATCATTGTAACCATCTTATTTCTTCTATGGTTACCATATTATTTATCAGTAATAACACTATTAATCAATACTTACTAACCACTTCCTTTCAGCTATATTCAGCACAGAGCTTTACAAACACTATTTCGTTTTACACTTAACAACAATTGTATTCAAGTAGTAGGTGAATATTTTACAGTTGTGTCAACCAGGTTTAAAAAGGTTAGGAAACTTACTCTTTTACTGAGGCAAATAACTGGCCACATACTGCAACCTAATGTGCAGCAGCAACAAAGGCAGCCACAAAGTAGCCAACGTACATTAACAGGAAGGTTCTTCTTAAGACAACTGTTAACTCTGTTGATGCTGGCTTTAAATTCTTCAGGAGCAACCTAAAGAAAAGTTTTAAGAAATAATAAAATTGCAATATTAATATCAATAAACATGTCTCATTAGCATACATCTTTTTCTAATTTGCTAGGAAAACACTTCAGTTTTGAGGCATAAAAACAGTACATAAATAATAGAGACACTCACTTTTCCAGTTAATGAAGAAGGGAATTCTGATTCAAATTTGTTGCTCAGTCCAAATCTATTTTTAAAAAAAATAAAAATATGTTATTATATGTCGTTGTGGCAAAAGATTTAGAACATTTAACTAAATCAAAAGGTAAAGTAAATAGAACGCAGGTACATATACAGAGGGAAATTTGAGACATATGATGAAAGTTCAAGACAAAAATCATTGTAATAAGCCATTTACAAAATGTAACAAGCAATTATTTTAGCAGTTGAATCAAAACTTTTGTATAATACTAAGAGGCTAAATGTTAACTAATTAGTAGTATTTAAATAAAAGAATGGTTCATTTAATTTAAGCTACCACCTTTATCTTAAAAACCATGTTCACAGCGTATTATTTTAATATACGGGTTAGCAATTTTTTGTAGCTTTGAATGTTATTGGTGGAGATAAGCAATGGCTATGAATTTTAGCAGATGTCCTTCATATATATACAATAAGACGAGGAGAAGGAAAAATGTAGGGAAAGAGTGGGGAAGAAGGGGCCAGCCAGTTAGCTCACTTGGTTAGATCACAGCCTCTTAACACCAAGGTCATGGGTTTGAATCCCTGTTCCAGCCCCCCTCCCAAAGCAGAAAGAGTGGGGAAGGGGAAGTAGAAAAAATAAAGAAAGTGGGGATTGACAAAGTGCTACCAAGAACTATCTTAGGTTCCATTCAATATTAATTTGTCAGTGCATTAGACAGTATGAAAAAATGTACACATCTGCTACATCTATTCCTATTCCCTAAAAGACCCTTTAAATCATGTTTAAAAAACTCTATGGCTTAAGAATTGATAAAAGACTAAAACTATTCTCAAAGAATGGCAAATATGACAAGAAGATAAAAGACATAATAAATTTACCCTATTTTGCTTTTACTATCAGAAGTCTACTAGTACTTGGAAAAAAGAATTCATTCAAATCACAAATATTGAACACTTTCTATGCCAAACACTTTGGGTAGCTTAAAATAGCTAAAATAGGAGGCTTTCATAGTTACTTTTTTTTTTTAAGATATCATATACATGGCCAATTTTACATAATTTGAGATAATTTTGAAAGTTCATATAATATACCTGTTAAAGCTTTGAAGAGGGACTGCAACTTTACATTTAAACCTAAATGGGATCTTGAAATATGTTTGTTTTACTCATACTCCACATACTTCCATTTCACTACTTCCTCATTCTCACAATTCATAGCCATAACTCCAGGTGTAAATCATTCCTGTCTGTTACCCTGCTTTCTCATCTTCATCCTAGTCAGACTTTCCCTTTCCTTATAGATCTTTCCCCTTCCAAACTCCTTTTAACAATTTCCTTTGGAACCACTAATCTGCTGATCTGCTGCTACCAGGATACCTCTTTGTACCTTCTCTTAAAAAAAAAAAAAAAAATTATCTATATATATTCACTTTAAGTAAAGACCCTGCCGAAATGCCACTTTTCCTACCTCAACTATAGCTCATTCCTAACCTTACCTATTTTTTTTTGAGGTTTTGTTACCATTTATTTGTGAAGTTAAAAACAAGTGATAAAAAATAAAAACTGCCTTACAATATATTTTGTTTTGTTTTCAGTTTCAATCTCCTCTTGAACAGATGAAAAGACAACAGACCAAACCAGTCCTGGGAGTGGCAAGACAGGCAGGGTTGTGGAGAACTAAGCTAGGGTGGAAGGAAGAGTGAGAGAAGAGAGACCAAAGGGCTGGGCTGGTAAGTTAGTCTTATCTCTTCTGAGGAAATTCACCTCCATCTAATTCAGCAGCCCACTCACTGTGATAAACTCTGGATACTGTCATCACTTGGGACTGTATTACTTCTGAAATTCTGAACTGTAAAATTCTCCTCTTACCACTATCATCAATCATTTCATTTCTCCCATCCTTACCAAATTTGGCTTTTGGTATCTGGTTGTAATGTATACCTTCCACTTCTCAGCAGCTCTCTATGACTCCACTTCCTTCCTTCTCCGCCAGAACTACATGGTCAGTCATTTTGGCCATACTCCAACCAATATCCTTTATCATCACTAGAGTGTCCCTTGACAGCCCAGATTCAATTAAACTGTTTACTTTCTTCAATTCCCATGGCCTGAAGCTACTAGAGAAAAACCACATAACTATTAAAAATATATTATTTCTAACTTAAGCGATTATAGCAATCTTTACTCATTCCTAATCAGTCCACTTTTCCATGTTCCATAGTTGTTGCTCCCCTATTTATGTGCTCAACTTTTTCCTCACAACTCACATATTTTGCAAATAACCATAGTCATTAACTCCAATGAGAAAAAAAAAATCGTTGACCATAAACTGCTTTACCTTCCCTCTAATTTTTAGATTTACCTGTTTGTCTTCACTATCTTTACCATCCTTCTCAAATGAGAAAAGGTTCCCAAAGCTAACCATTTGATCCTGGTTGCACCTCCTCCAGCCTCTTCTGCAATCCACTGTTTTTTTTCCTCCCTTCTGTCTCCTTACTCACAAATCTGCATGAGTCCACCCAGCCTGAGAACCTGAACCACTATTTTTGTCTCCCTCTGTATAGATGGCACCATCTTTTCCTTCCTCAACCAATGTCTTGAGAGAGTCCTTCACATTCACTCTTTACCTCATTTCCCATTCATTATTCAAAATACTACAACTTAGGCTTTCATCCACACTTCTTTACCAATGAGACTGCTCTCATCAAAGTAGTTGAAAACAACTCTTGAACAAGTCCTCTTTCATGTAGTATGCTTCCTCCTAAAACACAGCTTGAGCATCAGAATGTCTGATTTGGCATAGGTCATAGCAAATACCATCTTTTTTTTTTTTTTTAAACCAAACCTGCGGCCTTGGTGTTATCAGCACCACACTCTCCCTAGTGAGCCACGGGCCGGCCTGCAAATACCCTCTTTGCTATGTGTTTCATCCCTGCCAAAAACTTTTAAGGCCTTTTTTTTTTTTTTTTTTTAAATCTAGGCCAACCAAAGCAATACTATCAGATAAAGTTTTAGCAAGACCACCTTATTTTATTAAACAGATAAGAAAAGCCACATTTCATATTTGTTAATATAACTGCAAAATATCACCTTTAATGGTTATCATTTGACATAAATTGCTTAATTTTGATACTGCGTTAGTTCTTCCCTCACTCCCACCCCCAATTTGGCAGGAGGCAGGGGTTGTTAGAATGCAAATAGGATATATGTTTCAGTTTAAACTGATAGCATCATAAATTACTCCATTTATCTGTTATGCACCTACAAGTTTATATTAAAGTTTTTAAATATGTTAAAAATAATTTACTTTATTCTAAGATAAAGTACAATTTGCCCAGGACAATATTGGAAAGGCCAAATTTCAACCCATAAAATGGTAATTTGATGTGCTTGAAAGAAGAGCAATGATTCCTACATTGGATAGGAAGCTGAACTCCCCTCAGACTCTAAAAACCTAACATTCTATTAATCCAAAAAGCTGAAGTAGCATTTAATATTTTAAAAAGATATGATTCAAGGTGGGGGGCATGTTAATTCAGTTATCTACAAAGACTAAGAAAATAAAATTTAAAAAATATTTTCTGTTGGCAAGAAGGTCTTAAGATGGAAAATATCATGCACTGTCAGCAGAACTATAAACTGTTACACTATTTTCCAGAAATCAATTTGGCATTAAAAATATTTATACCTTTGTCACAGTGATTTCTCTTTTACAAACGTAACCTAAAAAATAACCCGAAATGTAGATAAGAATTCATGTGTAAGCAAGTTCACTAAAGCTTTATTCACAAAGATAAATATTCATAACATTACAGGAATGGTTAAGTAAATTATGGTATCTCAATATAACAGAATTCTCAATATAATAGATTAGACCACCATTAAAAATGAAATTTACAAAGAAAATGGAAAGAACATATTATACATTAAGTGAAAAAGAAAATTCAAAGCTGTACTTATATCATGATCTCAATTGTAGAACAAAACAAAAACCTTACAAATTGATAGAATCTTCAAGAGTATAATCTGATAGTATATAAAAAAGATCTTAAAAATATTCCTACCCTTTAATCAAGTAATTCTACTTCTAGAAATGTATCACAGTGGCACAGTATGTTAATGCATAATCAAGGATTCTGCAGTATTATTTTAGGACAGGGGTATTAAAGACATTTTGTTCCATTTGTTGTTTTTTAAAAACAGGAGCTATTTTTCAGTAATGTATAGTGGTTCCTACATAAATACTCTAAAAGCATTTTATAATATACAATACCATAATTTTCTTATTCTAGTTGAAACTTTTATTTGGTATTAACTAGGTATTTTCATACATAAACAGAGAGGTTTAGGTTCACTAATCAAGTTTTCTTGAATGCATTTCAATCTTTTTCATTGTTCAAGTCCATATAATCATCAGTCCTTTTCCCTTCAGCTTTTAACTCTTCTATGTTCCTTGTTTCTCCTCATATTAACATGTCATAGAATTCACTATTGCATTGTCATTTAGAGTCAAGATATGTTTTGAACTCATGGTGAACTTTGCCTTTTAAATACAGAACTGCAAGAATCTGACTGCTTCAACTTGTTTTACCCTTGGCCAAAAATATTTGTTCAATGTTTATGTTCCTTCCTTCTGAATTGCAGTGCTATTTGTAACAGTGAAAGTTTTAAAATAACAGAAATATCTTACAATTATATTAATTATAATACATCAATCTGAAAAGATACTGAACAGCTGAAAACCACGTATAATACAGAGAATTGTCTGTAACTCTGCTCCTAAGCTGGCTACACTTTGGCTAATTAGATCACAAATGGGCATCTGCTTTAAGAACAGTTAATCCCTAGATTGGCTAGCAGCACATGGGATGGCAGGGCCCAATGACCCTGCCCAAGTTAGACAATGTTAACTAACTCAACCAGTCTTCTCTCTTGAGGTATCTGAATATAAGACAAATAGCTGGTAACATGGCCAAGAGCTGAAAGACAGAGAAAGGCTAAAATTGAAACCAAGGTACAATAAAGCCATGAAGACTGGAAGTC